TCGTTCTTTCTATTTCACAGTTCAATAGCAACAATGGAATGAATTACGGCCAAGATTGTCCAACACAATAGACGATTTAGGCGTTTATTTACAGATCTGTTCAGTAATAAATGTTGAACTTTTTCTTAAACCTGCCCTCGGTTAAAAACTGAGGGCAAAAAAATAAATAAAAATTAAAGCCGCAAGCGCCGATGAAAGGCCTCGCCACTCTTGCGACCGCCTCCCGGGCGCCAGTCCCACAAGCGTCACGCGGCGTACCCGCCGACGAATTGGCAGCCCGATGGGACCAGGATTACGTACATAATACCTCATTAATAGGATGAAGTGCACCCCTAGTGGTCACGTCCGGACATGCACCCTCTACGTAGAGCAGTATTTTGCTCGTACTAGTGTAAAGATTTGATTGTGCAACTTTGGTGAGGAGAGGAAAAGCTTAGGTCAGAAACCTTCCATAGGTGGCGCTGTAGAGTCATATAAGGTGTGTGTTTTCACACCATTACTCTCAGGTCATTACCAACTGTTAGTGATGTGAGTTTCAGCTCTGTAGGTCTGAGCCTGTGGTCAGGAGAGCAGGCTATAGTTCACCCCTAGTGGTCATCTGTGGGACATGCACCCTCTGCGTAATGTAACATTTTTGCTTGTATGGATTAAAAGATTTGACCCAGTGACTTTTTTTATGCAGTTTATTTCTAGGTTCAAAGCCTCCTATAGGTGGCGCTATAGAGTTCATATTGTGTGTATTTTCAAACTAATTTGCCTGTCACAGTGAGCTCAGTCATGACACTTAAGTCCAACACTTAACAGTCAACAAACTTGGATTGAGTGGATTATTTTAACTGATCTAACCTTAAGCATTAAAAAAGAAGCAAGTATAAAATCACGATTAAGAACCACGTGACAAATGGAGTAGCTCACTGAAAACGTTATGTGCACCCCTGATTATAATAATGGCTTGAACTAGTGATGGCAATATGAAGCCCCATGATGCATTGAGGGTTTGCAGCCTATTACTCGGCCAATGGTTCGAAGGCTCGAGGTGATTCATGCTCCACTACGCCATCATGTGGACAAAAAATACATAACACTCTTAAGTGATTACAATGAATGGTGAGATCTAATGTTAAAATTTATATTTACAATCTATGGTCTAATGTGTTGTGTTTGAAATGATGCTTCATGAACTATGAACTATTTGAGTCTTTCAGTCAATTGTGTTGATACAACAAACACATCCAAAGTAATACAGTTCTACAGAAAGTGATTAATGGAGGAAAAACTACCAAGAGGTGGATTAATTAAACACAACAAACTATTTATTCCCAATAAATAAATACATTTACTTTGCAACACAAAAGTTATTATGGGTAGACCGGGACTCAAACAATATATCTTCTGCTTCGGAGTCCGTCATATACCGACTGCGCCACACAGCTGTTGTGAGATGTATTATCCATTGTATTATTAGTACTAACTTGAAGCCTTGATATATGAGGATTTACTAAAGTGAAACCTTTTTAATTGTATTTCATATGAAGTAGTTTCTCTATACTTAGTACAGGACTGCTCCACATCACGCACACACACGTACGCACACACACGTACGCACACAGAGGCAGACGGGGACAGCCAATACAGTCTATGGTACAGCCGCGGATCACAAAGCACCTGTCAAAGCAATGCACTCTCCGAACTATATGAAGCACTATATGAACCGTGACGTGGTGCGGCCGCTACGCGAGGCTTCGAACGTCACAACACACGCCTCGAACCACGCTTCAAAAAATACGCCCCTTTTTTACTCGATACACGCTTCGAAGGCCCGGCACGCTCAGCACATCACTAGTGTGAACGGAGAAGGAGGACGCGGAGTAGGAGTAGCCCTTAATCAATGGTAAACTAAAGATCCATGTGAAAAAAATTACTTCTCACTGTTCTCAGGTCAAATATTTATATGCGACTGAAATGCGATTAATTGAGATTAATTAATTACAAAGCCTCTAATTAATTAGATTTTTTTTTTTTTATCCCGTCCCGGCCCTAGTAATAATGTAAACTGAGCCTAAAACAGTCTTCATCAAACTAACCCAAAAACAGTAGAGCCTGCCCTGGGAATAACCCCAGTTAGCAAAGTCCTAGTCCAGAGCTTTAACCACTACACTACACTAGAGCTCACCATGTCAATTTATAGGGTCCTAGGTTTTCAGTGTAGCACAAAATTAACAAATTAAATGCCAAAGGTTGCTGACTGGCTGTGTCAAAACTGTCTGACATTAAACACAGACAAAACCGTTTCAATGTATATTACAAACCGAGGTAAGCATATCACTTGTCCAATTATTGTTATTAATGACAGTAAAATTAAAAATGTTGATGTATTCTCATATTTAGGAGTGACCCTGGATCGAAACCTGACCTTCAAACATCATGTAAAGAAACTCCGTTACACTCTTAAGTTTAATTTGGCCAACTTCAGATACATTCGGGGGTCACTCACCACTGAGGCGTCCCATCTGTATCTGAACTCCATGATCCTGTCACATTGTGTATACTGTGTCTCGAGCTGGTCTCAGGGCTGTAAAACCACTCTGGGACCTCTGGAGTCACTGTACAAGTGTGCCCTTAAGATCCATGATAAGAAGTCCAGGCGGTACCATCACTGTCCCATCCTCTCTAAATATGACTTTCTCAACTTTGAAAAAAACGCACAAGTGAGTGAGTGAGTGAGGGAGTGAGTGAGGGTAATATTCTAGTAGAAGTTGGGGAGCTTTATTTATTGTTTTTAAACTTAATGTTTTGTGAATGATGTTATTTAAAGCCTTTAATGTAAGACACAATCATGTATTCATCTACATTGTAATCAGTTTAAATGAACATAACACCAGCTTGCCCAGGGACTACAGGTGGAAATTAGCTTTGCTATAACCTGGTACATGCATCTCTCCTTTGTGTTAATGCTTAACTGTACACTGTCCCTGTTCAAATAAAGTACATACAATACAATACAATCAGTAGGAAGACTCAGCAGACTGTGTCACTATAATTTGTATTAAGGCAAGAGGTGCGCCCCTGGTGGTCAGGTCGGGTATTGTAGCTCTGAGTGTAATATTACTATATGAAATAAACTGCTTACTTGCACGAAAACGGTGAAGATTTTCTAACTTTTTCGGGACGATTATATAACTTCAATCCATCCAGATTAGGAAATGACATGGTAGAAGTCTGTGCGATGAAAATCCAGCGACACCTTGAACTGCCTGTAGGTGGCGCTGTTGCACTCACAGTTGTGTGTTGCATATCGTGGTGTTCAGGGTCATACGCTGTATTTCTGAATTCATTTTTAGCCTCATCGGACAAACATTTTGCCCCAAAAAGCTCATTCATTCACTTTCCGGCGCCCCCGGTGGTCAGGTGTGGGACTTACAACTTTTGCGTAGTGCAATTTTTTGCTCGTCTCGGTCCAGAGACTATACTCAGCAATTTTCGGGCCGATCCGAGCTTAGTGCCCTATTACTTTCCGACAGGTGGCGCTAAAGAGCTCAAATTGGGCGAATGATTTTAGTGTCATTGCGTTCAGGTCATAACCTAATATTACTGATGTGAGACTCAGCTCTGTAGGTCTGAGCCTGTGGCCCTCAGGGCTCAGCGAAAATGGCCAAAACGAAGGCCTTATTCGCCATGGCGAGGGACGAAAACGGTGAAGATTGTCTAACTTTTTTTTCGATGATTATATAACTTCAATCCGTCCAGAGCGGGAAATGACGTGGTAGAACTCTGTGTGATGAAAAACCAGGGACTAGTTCGAATTTATAAATGAAAAGTCAAATTAGTGGCGAAACTTCGGCCCCTCATGGCCGACTTCCTGTTGGTCCCAGACATGTGCTTAGAACGGCTTTTATGCTCGTCTCATAGAGATCTATCACTCATCCGAATTTTGTGTACCTACTCCAAAATTTGAAAAAAAATCCCCAGAGGGTCAAAAAAAATGAAATTTCTAGGGGGCGTTATAGAGTCGGCGAGCGTCGGACAATCTGGAAACGTTCATTTTATCAAATTATTCGCCGAACCGGTCGTTTTAGACCCCCCATGTGCAGACTTTCGTGCATGTCTTCAGGGTCAAAAATCGAATTGAAGTTGCGGAAAAAAAGAAGTATTATAATATGAAACCGGTGAATAACAATAGGCCTCCCCAATACTTCGTATTGGCTCGGCCTAATAAAAACTTGGGAACCTAACTTTAAAACCAGAAAAATCCATGTAGTTTGGTTCCATCACTAGTTGTATGCATATCAAATGATATTTTTCAGACAGAAAAATTGAAAATAGAGGACCAGCCTCACTCAGACAATCTCTTCTCAGCCCAAAGTGTCAAAAAGTGACTCACAGGGCTTTTTCATTGTATGTAAAAGATAATATGTTGTTAATGTCAATGGCGCATTTACAACAACACCAGCTGCCCAAAGTGCTTCACAGGCCCAAAAGACACAAAAATAAAAGCAAACGGCATAAAAAAACACATAAATACATGTAAAAAGTTAAACTCAGTTGTTATGATTGAGATTAAGATTAAGAGACCTTTTATTCGCCTCAAAGTGTGGAAATTTCAGTGTTGCATCACCAGTTACTCTTTCAGTTGGGGCGAGCACGATGTATTGGGTAAAGTTAGGTACCTCAGCTTTCAACTAAAGTCTTTTCAGGGTCAACAACCTTTCCTTTTGGAATCTTCTTGAATCTGGGCCAGTGACGAGCCCAGAGGACAAATGAGAGAAGCGAAGACATCCTTAGATCTTCCCGTCGATCTGTATAGTAATTATATCTAATACTAATTGCTCAATTGGAAATAGTGTGTAAAGCCATTGTGAAGGACTGAAATATAAAACCACCACTTTTGGAAAATGATTAAGCAGACAAGACACAGCCAGCCATACCTTTCATTATTACTCAACCCCAAACCCAACCCCGCTGTGACAACATACAACACAATGGTAGGAGGGGACAATTACCTGGCACACCTGGAGCAGATGTTGAGAGTGACTTTGGCCTGTGGTTCTGCCTGATACGAGCTCCGACCCTGACTGAACTTGCTCCCGGTCAGAGCCAGCACCGTGACGCCCTCCATGCGCAGGTCGTCCAGGTCCTCTGGGTGGGGGAGGGTCCCGACAACACACGCAGAAACACAAGAGGAACGTCATTAATCATAGTTTGTCAGGGCGGCGCTGGGTGTTGAAAGTCTCGTTAGAGGCAGTGGAGCAGACAGCGGCGCTCTCGTTCCCAAACTGACAGATGACATCAACGTGCTGTAGGCCTTTCAGCTCCCCCCCATAGGAAACATTTGGAGGACTTTATGGCACAGTTACCAGCAAACATCCTCATCTACGGGGAGAGCTATTCATTGCCGCTATTTATATTAACCCTTTCATGTTCACTCCTTGAAGAAAGCACTTTTATATTTTCTAAGATGAAGTTGAGATGCAATTTGATGTTAAAAGAGCCTAAAACCAAATGATAGAGATGTACCAAATGTCCCAGATTTCAGTCCAAGTAGATATTGACTCAAAAAGTGATCCACTAAATCCATTAAAGGGTTAAAAACAAATATTATTGTGTTTATTTAATCATAATAACGCATTGGTTTTATATAGAACTTTTTCAAGACTCAAAAGACGTTTCACACGTTTCATTCACTCCATACAGTGGTGATACGTTTCTTCAGACTTACAGAAGCAAGGTGACCAGTCTGTGCCATCGCTCCTCCGACCAGCACTGATCATTCATGAACACACAACACTCATACTCACAATAACAGTTTAGCTCTTTACAGCCACTGCTGCCCCCCTGTGGAACCGGTGTTCCCAGAGGTCTCCCATCACAGCACTAGCCAGGCTCTTCGATGCTTAGCTTCTACAGTCTGACAGGGAGTAACATCAGCTGATAAATGACACATAACTGAGACCGGTGACAGTTCTGAAGATGGCTCTGCAGCTGGAACATGTTAACAAGGTCCATCCAACTTGTCTTTCAAAAGAACCAAAAAAAAACATTTAACTCAGAAATGAACCTTTTTGAATGTGAATACTCTAGTGCAAAGAAATACTTGTATGCACCTGTACATAAATCTGTCATGCACTCTAGCACACAAATATTAAAGCCATAAGTCATTGGCTCTGTGGGTTCCATATAAGTATATATCAATATATTGATACAAGAGTTCCCAGACTTTGGCTCCTGCTGTCTTCATTCTCTTTGTAGCCTCCAGACACAATCGAGTGTCTCACGATAAAATGTCCCCCTGTAAAAACCATTTGCAACCTCATCGTGACTTTTGAACTTAAAAAAGCCTCGATACAAAACTTCCTCCAAAGGGTATCGCGTTGCAGTCCATCATCGTCTGCGTGAAGCAACAGGAAGGGAGTGCTGAGGAGAGCGGAGGCCAGAGGGACACAGAACAATGGCAGCGAATGAGTGGCAGTGCAGAAGATGAAGTGCTGGAAAGTTTGGCTCCGCTCTGATCTCGGCCTGCGAGCTGGAGCGCTCTCACATCACCCATCCACCCACACGCAGATACACTAAAGAAGAACACATGGAAGAGACACGCCAGCATTGTTCATCCTCTAACCCAATGCTCTCTGCGTGTCTGCGGCTCCCACTGACTAACATGTGCTCATTTACAGGTGCAAAGAGGAAGAATATGATGTTATCTGCAAAACAATAGACGGCATTCACAAGACGTTTATTTGAAGTTGGATTTCATAATGTAAAGTCAGAGGATTCCAGGTTCAAATATAGTCGGGGAGTTGCTGTGCTGTGCTTGCATCTGTCTGGGTGGAAATTCTTCACTTATAATGAGTCTCAAATATGCACTGACAAATCCTCAAGCTAGGAAAAAGCTTGAATTAGGGGATTTGTAAAATAGATTATATGCTCAGAGGGAGCCATAAAGAAATACCCTGTACTTAGACATCCACTACGATAACAAGGAGATATATTTTCTCTTCCTAATTGGATACATCCCAAGTTGGTTTTTCTGTTAGACAAGAGAAAAAACAGGCGTTGGATCCAGACAGGTTGTTTTTTCTGTTCCCAGTCTGGTCACTCAGGCCAAACTAGACAGAACTCTGCGATCATGTTTGTTTCTTTCTTTCCTTGATACATGGGGAACATTTTTAAAGTTATGTTCAAAGTTATAATAATGCTTCACCCACAGTTTTGGCATAGTTTTCCTCTCTTAAAAGCTTTGCATACATTTTTTCCCGTCTTAATCCTAAAAATCAGAACTAGTGCACTTACAGAAGTTACTTATTTACTTACATTGTCCACTTCCTGGAACATTAAAACATCCCGGCCATTCACCACAATGACTTCAAATGTGATTTTTCAAAACTTTTAGATCACAAAGCGATTAACAAATATGCTTTTTCACATAACATACATAATTAAAGCTGGAGTACCTAACTTTCAAAGCACAACACAATGGGGCTATTCATCTAACTTTTTTACCTTCTGTCTTCATATCTCCAGATCAGCTTTTCCAGAAAAGTTTCAAGAAAGGACCAGCCTCACAACCAATCAGGTAATAGCCAAAGTCAAATAGTGACTTTGCAAAAGATGCAAATGTTTTATAATAATATGAGGAAAGCTGGATGTGGTCTGATTTGTTCAGAGACAGGAAACCAGTTAGATACCCCACCTTTAATGTCAACAGTTACATGCACTAGAACTAAACAAAATGAGCTCCCTGCACAAAAAAAACATGACCTTTCAGAATGCATATTTGCTTTGATCCAAAATTATAAAGGTGTGTCTGTCATTGGCTGCTTCTCAATTTCACCTGATCCCAAGGAGATAAAGTTGCCTCTGAAACCACACAATATTTAAAAAGAATTGTTGGTTTATTCTGATGTATTAGTTTAAGTTCTGAGGAGACTGTCCCTCTGAGGCAATGTCCCTGGCTGCTGCTGCTGTGTGTGTGTGTGTGTGTGTGCCCGTCTGTGGAGGAGTGAGTGTGTGTAAGTGTGTGCGTTTGTGTTCATATGTGTGTGTGTGTGTGTGTGTGTGTGTATTCGCGCTGTGTGTTCCTGCGGGTATGCTTGTGTGTGTGCTCGTGCTCATGCATGTGTGAGTGCGTGCACGTTTTGCGCTTGTGCTCATGGATGCGTTGTGTGTTTGTGTATGTGTGTGCGTTTCCCGCGTGTGCTCATGCATGTGTGTGTATGTGTGTGTATACGTGTGTGTGTGTGCGTGTGTGTGTGTGCGTTTCCCGCTTGTGCCCATGCATGTGTGTGTATGTGTGCGTCTATGCTTGTGCCCATGCATGGGTCTATACGTGTATGTATGTCGTGTGTGTGTGTGCGTTCTTGCTTGGGCCCATGCATGTGTGTGTATGTGTGTGTATATGTGTATGTGTGTCTGTGTGTGTGTGTGTGTGTGTGTGTGTGTGTATGTGTGCGTTCTTGCTTGTGCCCATGCATGTGTGTGTGTGTGTGTGTTCTTGCTTGTGCCCATGCATGTGTGTGTATGTGTGTGTATACGTGTATGTATGTCTGTGTGTGTGTGTGCGTGTATGTGTGTCTGTGTGTGTGTGTGTGTGTACGTGTGCGTTCTTGCTTGTGCCCATGCATGTGTGTGTATGTGTGTGTATATGTGTATGTATGTCTGTGTGTGTGCGTTCTTGCTTGTGCCCATGCATGTGTGTGTGTGTGTGTGTGTATGTATGTGTGCGTTCTTGCTTGTGCCCATGCATGTGTGTGTATGTGTGTGTATATGTGTATGTATGTCTGTGTGTGTGCGTTCTTGCTTGTGCCCATGCATGTGTCTGTGTGTGTGTGTGTGTGTATGTGTGCGTTCTTGCTTGTGCCCATGCATGTGTGTGTATGTATGTGTATATGTGTATGTATGTCTGTGTGTGTGTGTGCGTTCTTGCTTGTGCCCATGCATGTGTGTGTGTGTGTGTGTATGTGTGTGTAATCCAAGTCTATCTGATACTTTCACTTTGAGCTCGTGTTTCGGGGCCTGTCGTCCAGCAGCAGAAACAGCCTCACACCTTGAAAGCAGAGCGTTCATGACTAATCACCAGAAAGATCTTCTCTGACAAATGCCAAAGAGGAGTGTGTGCTGCGGGCATCAGGCGCATCAGACGCATCAGACGCAGAGGCACGGAGCCAGCGCCCGCGGTCTCCAGGACGGATACTAGATACGGGATACATTCTTACAACTAATTACTTTCAACATTCAATTGTAACAGTTATAAGTCTGAAACATTTATATAGCTGTCTGAACAATAACAGGAAAGAATAGAATTTTAGGACTTTTTTTGAGTGACCTGTTCTGAAATGAATGATGTTGAGAGATTAAAGTTAAGTTTTGTCCTTTTTTTGCCCTTTTTGTCATTTGAGCCATATCCTTCAATGCCACTCAGGCCACAATATACTGTATAGACTTGGTCATACAGACAATGCAATAATCACAGTGTTAAGAAGTTCATATGTTCTATCATGTTAATAAAATTGCTAATTATACACGTCCTGACTGTTTTCTTCATAAAAAAATACATTTGGTAATCTCGACAGAAAGTGACATTTGGTGGAGAAATCAGACACAACATCTTTGGAAAGAAAGAGCCCGGCTGATTGGCTGAGTGAGCGTGGCCCTCTCGGTTTCACTTTTCTGGCTGAAGAAGCTGATCTAAAGATGTGACAGAGGCCGAAACATGCACGTGAAAACTACCGAGCGGTTTTGAGAGCGAGGAGCAAGTTAGACGGACATTATTACATTTAGAAGTTTAAAAGAAAGGTACCCAAGCTTTAATATAAGCCATATTTCAGCAAACCTCCCGAAAATAAGCAAAGCATTATCTATAGCTGTTTATACTGGGCTCAAAAAGCGTGCAAAATTGACTTACTTTGTATCATAGTATCAAATGACTATTGCACATTTGACTTTTTCTGCTGCAGCTGGCGTATTCCAAGTGCCAGATAGATTCCAGTGCTAGCCTTAAGCGGTAAATATTAAATGTCCCATTCATCACTGCATGTTCGGGACAAGGGAGGGGACACTCGCAGCCACCAGCGTTTCAGCCTATTCTCTGGCCGTGGGAACCTCTCTCCGCTTTAGGCCTTCACCTTGTCCTCCTTTCTGCGCAC